GTGCGAGATATTTAACGTTACGAGACCAATAAAAGGTACTTTAGTGTCATCAATCCCCGATAATTAAATTAGTGCCTCATTACGTTCTCACGTCCGTAAAAATCGGACTTTCCACAGCGAGTGCGTTTGGAAACCCGTTTGCGCCGCAATCGCAATCGCGTCGCTCTTCCCCCTTTTTTTTCCACGCCGAGGCGCTAAGGCGCGTAAAATTAACCCGCGCTAAACGTAATAAGCGCCGGACCCTTTTACGAGCCGCGGACGTTTTCGTAATTCACTTTCTAATGCTCGGCTAAAATTATATCGTCACTTTTACCGCGGTAACCGCGCCGCCAGCCCGTTCCCTTCTCAAACGCGCGCGATCACGCGGGCACGCCGCGTATGCGCCCGCGAGCTATGATTTATAATGCAACGCGCGCGATGCTCGCAAAAAGATGATTTCATTCTCGTTCTCGTTCGCGCATCGCCGCGCGAACCATTGTTGTTCCCTTCGAGAAGCACGAAATCCGCACATTAATCCTTGGTAACTGCGACACACTCCGACATTTTATAAAGCGTAAGATACCTTGCGTGATTTATTATCCTTCCCTAAAATCGCTTCCTGATTTTACGCGGACATCTCTGCCCCTCGCTAATTACAAATTATCTTCTCAAGTGTACGGCCAGCTTATTACTAACGTGGTAATCGTCTTACTATTTCATCCAGCTTATTCAAGTGTGGCTAACAATTGGAATTAAATGACAAGGCGTGAATACACGAGAATTTACTTGCGAAGACATAATAAATGAAAACTTTATTTCCGCGTAATGCTTATTGATCAGTTGACTTACTTATATTCAATGAAAGAGATATATAATGAAACGATCTCTTTGCCTAGTTAGATCGTGTAATCGTTGCGAAAGACTTGTAATTGAATTTGGACGTTGAAAGTCTACTATCTCACATTAGAGAACTTTTCTCCATATTTAAAACAATACATTACATGAAACTGAATCACTAGTTTTTTTTTCTTTCGAATAACAAAGTTACTGATGCTTGCGCGGTGTTGCTACTTACCTGAGTCGAAATTTTGGCCCTGTGTTGAACCTTTAATTCTATTATATAGACCTAAGACAGTAAAAGAGGTCGAACTGCGAGTACAAAATTGACTCCCACTTAAAAACTGATAACGTCGGAAGTTTCTACTTTTACCAATTTTTAGCATTAAAGTAGGTCCTTTTAAGTGGGGGCTAAAGTACATTTTTAGAATTAAAGATTCAAGGGAGGAGTAAAAAAATATGTCGTCAAAGTAGGTTATTGCTGGTCTATGTAGGTGTATAGATCAGCTAAGTAGGTGTAGATTATTCTTAAAAGTGTCAAAATAGTACCAACATTTCGACTCGTGTATAGCTGCGACTTTAGCACTCTTATGACGAGAGAGAGAGATGTAAGGAGAAATTAACTTAACTAATTATTAAATCAGACACAACGACGTCGTACGCGCTCGCGGTCGTCTCGACGAACCAGAATTTATCTCGCTCGATGTGGCTGGGTGACGCTGAGAAACGATAAGTAGACTTGACACCTTTAATGCAGCGGTTTCATATATGATTCGGATTATGTGCCGCATATACAAATATATATACACCTCGCACCCACTAATGATGACAAATATATACCCGCGCCAAGCACTACTCGCAATTAATAACATTCGCGGACAACATTAGCCATTCGTTACGTTCAAGTGGACGGTGCGTACTTGGTTATACGCAAACGTATATTTTATCGCGGTGGTAATCGCGCGGCTTTACGCGGCGTACCCTTATTTGCAGGCAAACTAGTCTCGAGGCCGCGTACGACGCTCCTCTCCCGTTTGACGCTCTTACGCGAAGATGCGACGCGACGTGTCAATTTATAATCATCAAGAAATCGCGCCGCGATTACTGTCAGGAGGATGTCTCATTAGCGCCGAAGATCGACGCGAATCGATCGTGCGGGGCACATCCGTGCTTCATTTAAACCCGTCGCGATTTAGCACGCCACACACGTTGGCATCCGCGACGATAATTATAGGGAAAATGAAAAGATAATTATTAAGTATCTTACTCGTGCTTTTAATAGAAATTTTCCATTCGCCGAGAATTTAATAAAACGTACCGAAACAAGATTGAAGAAAACGGTAGAAATTATTTTCGTGAGAAAATAGTATAACGAAGGAACATTCTAATCTGTTTCCTCCAGATACAGCACTTACATCGGTCGATTTATTTATATAAATCGTAGAAATATCGTATATTATTATTTGATATCGACTTGCCTGTGTTTTATCAGAAAACTGACAGATATCAGGCATACATTAATATTTTGCCGATTGAAGGGCAGTGATTGCGCGCGTTTTAATTGCTTGCTCAATTTTTAGGAAAATTTGGAAATATTGAATCGCCAGTATTTAACAAATAGATTGAATAATCCGACACAACTGGCAACAGGAAACTTCCCTTAGTCGCATTTCGGGTTCGGCCATGGGTTTTGATCCTTTTCAAGCGAAATATCTACAGACCCACTGGATCCACTAGGGGGTCCGCTTCTGTCCAGTGAGCAGTTACGTTATTTGATCGCATGCCACACACCGACGAGTATCTGTAAATTGTACGTGAAAAGGGCCAAAAACTTTCTTTATTCGCATATTTCGGCCATAGGGTTTGGAGAGAAATGGGCCCTCCCAGTGGGCCTAGTGGTATTTGACCACATATGCCACACGCAGACTAGAATCTGTAGAGTGCACTTGAAAAGGGCCAAAACACATGGTCGAAACGTTGTGCGAATAAAGGGACTTTCCCGTTGTCAAGTTTTAGGATCGATGGTTAAGAAACGCGCTTTTAATTACCGAGGCTCGACGTGTACGTAAAACCTTGTTAACGCGTTGCGTGGAAATCGTGCGATTTAAGACCGAAGTCCTTCGGATTGTGAGACCTGCGTAAAGTACACGTACAAAGTATTTAATGTCTACTTTATAGCGGCTACACCGTTTTCTAATAGTAATGGCCATCATCAATCGCGCAGCGACGCGGAAGACGCATGGACGCGATACGAGCGGTATGGCCACGAGTACGAGTTTCTTGCGGTCACTACCATAAGCGTACCTGTTGTTTTCTGTTTTGTTAACATTGTGTCCGAGAACCTGGAACGGGTGGTATCGGTTGTCTAGTTTCAGATGGAATTCATAAAACAACGCGTTAGACATCGATGGCGGATTTCTCTCCTCCCATTTTTCTTATTCCGTATTTTACACGCTGACCGAATCGCGCAGAAAATATGCATAATAATTACATTTACGCAGGGTTGGGTGAGTTACCTTTTTTTTTTAATTAAGTTAAAGTTAACAGCTTTGAAAATTTAACTTAGTTAAGATGCAAGTTAACCCATGATGAAATTAATTGAGTTAAAAGTTGAGTTAATAGTAAAAAGAAATTAAAAAGTTTAAAGTTACATTTTCTCATATAATGGCTGTGTTCCAAAATTCACTGCCAGCGCTCAAGATCTATAGTGCATGTAATGTATACTATAACTTTGTAGCGCTGGGAGTGAATTTTGGAACACAGGAACTGCCGATGTAGACAGAGAGACGTGCGGCGTCTCGCGACGCCTTTGCTTATGTCATGGCTAATTTTAAGAAAGGTAAATTAAAAGTTAAAAGTTACCAATAAAATGTAACTAAATTAAGTTAAAAGTTAATACTAAGTTAGAATGATTTAACTTTTTAATTTAACTTTTATCTTTTTAATTGGACACTACCCAACCCTGCATTTATGTAATGCGTAATAATTTCATGGTAAACCAATAACTACGTATTGAAATCCACGTAATTATAAACTGAAGAAAAGATATTGCGGAAAGCGTTTCTAAATTGCTAATGAAACTTACCCGGATAAATATTATAAATCGACTTCAGATTGATCTTTAATGATCGCTTTCTATCTCGAAGACCATTTAAACGCTGAAGAAGCCATCGATCTACCTTCATTTTCCGCTTGTACACCAATATCCTCCGGTAATTCCGTTTAAAAGTTGGCGTGGTAAAGATTTCCGCAAGAAAATAAGATGAATAAATCGCTTTTCCGCGATAATGTTGTTCGATTTGCTCGGGTGGCTCGTCGCGGTATCGTTTATCCCGCTTTACATAACTTGTTACGCGTTGGTATCCCGTTGACGTATCTGACTGGAACTTCAAACATCGGAGATAAGATTAGAAGAAACATCCGCGTGGACAGTGGATTGAATTAAATCATCCGGCGATATTATCGGCCCGTCTAAACCACTCGCAATTCTTTCTCAGGGAAAGTCTACGCGAGGGGACTTGTCATGGCTGATATCCAGGATTGCGCCTCGACTCGAGAGAATTCCGCCGTGGACTGGGGATCAGCACGGCGGCGGTATTCCGCTTAAGTTATGGCTTCGGTTATAGCCGCCGTTCGAACTACAAATTCTCCCGCAGCGGTGTATATAAGTGTGTATATATATACACGGTAGGATTCGTACTTACCTAGTACGGAAACTACCTACAACTTAGCAGAATGCCAGCGTGCAGAAAGGCTCGTTGCCGTGCGGGACAAATACGCGGTTACCGCAGAGATATTGCGCCTTAAGGCCCAACACACTCCCAAGAAAATAGCCTAATGATCGTATTGTGGCTGCCAGCTTGTCACAAAGCATCTCCAGCACTTAGTCGTCCGTGAATTTACCTGTCGTCTCTCGCCCGTTAGAATCCATTTGCTCGGATAAAAAAAGGCGGAAATTGCAACCGGAAGATGCATCTATGCTGATTTACGTCATCTCTCGATGTTATTTCCGCACGACGGCGTGTCCAAAAATATTGAATCGAAAGGATCAACCGGTATGAATTTTAATGAATACAGTGGATGGGATCCGACTGGAGGGAACATAAATGGACATGTACAGCTATCATTTTTTTTTTTCAGTTTTAATGTCGTAACCCTGCCAAATACAATAATAATAATAGCAATAGAGTAGTAATTATAATAAGAATCGTAATAATGATAATGATAATAAGTATTATCTAAAATATGTAACCAACGCGTTTCGATAGTACGATTGCCGAGACAGATGCGCGGCTGTACCACACACAGGGGCAACATGGCGCGCCGTGTGCATGTACATCACACGTCGCTGCAACTCGATCGAACGGCGATATATTTATTTCGTCATAAATCACGTCAGCCACGACCGTACCACCCGGATCTTACGATATAAGATTCACTTCCATAGTAGGAATCGCAAGTTAATTAATAATCAATATGCGCGCTCACGGCCGTACTCGGCCGAATATACTTTTAGGACTTTCTCGTACAAAAACGTCACCGGCATTTACGATAATGTCGTATATAAATATATAATATATATATATATAATTTTTCGTGCGTAATATATATTTCACTATTCATCTTTCCGCGGAGTACAATAATTATACATTCTCCATTTCCTTCCGCTGCAATAAATAAATTATCCAAATCAAGGACATATATCGATATCGATAACAGTAATATGATTACAACCACATTTACAATATATCTATATGTTTATCTCTCTCTATATATATATATTTATATATATATAAATTTCTTCTTTTCATTTAACTAACGAACTCTTCTGTGCGCAGTACGATAGAGACCATCTTCAAGCGCCGCGTGGTATAATAGAAAATACCAAGTTAGCATAATATATAATGCCTTCGTTTATACAGTGATTCATAATATATTATCATTGATCTACGTTTCTACGCAACATATACAATTATGCTTAAAAGGTAATAGTTAGTGGCGCGCAAGTATCTTGCCCTTCTTCCAAATTTTAGCGACTCGCTTTTCTCTTTTGTCAAAAGAAACAATCTAACATTTATTGTACGTGTAATCTTATCTCTTATTTGCCGAAGACGAGTATCGATAAAGTTTGAGAGGGAAAATATTGGAAATTTCAGACGTTGTCGTGGCTCGCGAAAGAAAAAGAAATTCTACGGCGGATCATTATTAGGAATTATTGCAATATATGTTTGCCGGTATATACATTTATTCTTATACGAAGCCGTGCTGAAATTTGTGATTTGGGCTATGCTGCGCGCATCGCAATAATCCGTGCGAGATCCGAGAGAGAATTACTGGCCCCCATTGGTTATATTATTTAGATAGAATCACGCTATTCTAATTCGCCGATCCGTCGATCTGGCGGTCATAAAGCGAAGAACTTTACATACTATGTACACAGTAATTATTTTTCCTTTAAGTGTTACCTTAACACCTAGTAGTTCCGTTCGTCAAATTCGCGCGAAAGTCCGTGTCGAAGCTTACGGACAACGATGTACTTGGCGCTGTAGCCTGTCGTAGAGATTACCGTACGACGCTCGTATTTCGCTCTTAGTACTTTCCGTAATATAAAAATAAAGCATATCTCTTGGTCGCCCATTGAGACACGTACCGCGGCATTCTGGTATCTGGACGAGAGAAAGAAAGTCGTCGAGGGAAAGGCGAAAGCAAGAGTTACCGCTTAAAAATGGATAGATAAACTGATAGCCTATGACGAAGTACGCTCGCTAGTTAAGGGAATTATGCGATCTCGTTTTCACGTAAATTAATGCGCGGACGTAAGCGCCAGGAGTAGTTTCGTACTCCTTCCAACTCAGATTTTCGAATCGCGAATTTTTCTAATTTATCAAACTTCTCGTACTATTTATTTTACGCATATATTGCATTCTATTATGCTCACGTATGCGGATATGAAAGCACCAAACCATGCACACGATAAATGAACGACAATTAAAAGGAAATTCATGCAATTGAAGTCCGTGAAAAAAAATGTATATAAAAGAAAAATAAAATCGATGTTTCTTCACTGACTTATCCATACGCGCAAGTTTGAGAGCACAAATGATACCAGAAAGACATACATAACTAACCGTAAAGTGATCCGAAGCACCATGCTTTTAGCGCATTAAACACTCGACACAGTCGTTCCTCGTTGAACACAAACGACGGGAAAATAATACTGGAAAACGTGAAACCTCAAAGCTGACAAACACTAATCCCTTTCTTAAAATAAACATGTCGTCTGCACTTTTAAAGCAACTAACGAACACTGAACTATCTCTTGGACCGGTCATATCTTGCCGAGAGGATGCTTGGAATGAATATCTCGTGTAGATAATACGGAGTTTCCTCTTGAAATACCGATTTCATTCCTCAGTCCTTCGTGCTATCTTCGGCTCCCTTGAGATAAATCTGAATTTCGGCTGAGATTTACCGAATGGCCCGAGCTCGATATTACTCGATACCACAGAAACGCGCGGAGAAATATCGTAGTAGCGGCGCTTCTCTTACGGAGTTACTATTTAAGATCGTAATCGACGGGATTCCTCTCCGCGCGCGTGTCGCGTATGCAAATCGCCGCGTATTTGTTTTATTCATCTTTAGAGCCAGACTCGCCGAGGTGCGCCAAATATAAATGACCCGCGTCCGAGACTTGGCGACTCGCGGTGACTTAGGGTCCGCGGCTACGTAATCCCGATTAGTTAGTCAGTTGACATCTGTTAAGGCACTTGAAATGCTAATTTTCCTGGGCGGGGCCCCTCAAAGAAAATTCAGATATGAAGCTCGTTTACCTACTTCCTTATCCATTCACGGCTCGCCTTCTACGGAGAATTGAATAGTCGTGCATTAACATGAGAAATAAGCTGTGAAAGAGAGAGAGAGAGAGAGAGAAAAGGAGAAATTTAAATACGCGTAAAGTATTGAATTTTCTCGAAACTACACGCACTTTTCGACGTAGGAACGTGTGTGCTCGGGGAATGTAAATCCGTAGTCCTTCCCTTTTTTCCGGAATATCAAAATCCCTGACGACGCTGGAGCATCCCGCGCGACAGACCTCAATGAGCCCTCGTGCTAGTTACAGCGGGAATGTCCAATGACTCATTTCTGTCTTTCCGTAAAAAGGACGGCATTTAACGCACGCAGTGGCTACCTAGTTCGTGCATTTCGAGCGTTTCTTAAACCTACAGTAAATAACGATCGATGCCACGTGCCGCATGCAAATGTGAAAAACGCTTTTCTGGCCGAACGTAAGCGAGTGAGCAAATATTCTACGGAAACGTTATACGTACCTATCTCGAATAAACCTTTTTCCACATGTCGAACGTGTAAGCATTTTTTAAATATATCTGTAACCATATCCCTAACTAATTATTAAATACATTCTTTAAATTTTGAAAGACATTTTTTTATTATGCATAGAGAATCTACAAAAGAATATAATCAAAATGAAAACAAGTGATTGAATAAAAAAGCATAAATTAGAGCTTATCTAAGAAATTAAATTGGACATCGTATCAAATCGACCAACACTATCAGTCACAAAACTAATTGAATAACTGAATATGAAGATGGCTCCAACGTTGAACGATAATCTTAACAGAAGATTACGAAGACTGAAGCGTCACACACGGTTGTTCAAGTTGTAGACAACTTAGATTAAGACCTAGGTATTTTTAGTTAATTTTTCCGAATATCGCAAAAGGGATTTAGATATTCCGTTAATACGAGTATTCACACAGCAGTCTGAAATTTGGACAAGAAAGGTGACAGAGACCAAAATGACGACATACGTCAGACGAGGGTGGTTTGATATTAAAAAGAAAAATTTGAGTCTTGCAGCGTACTTTATATTTCGATCGTAATCCCCTCGCAGTTCAACGCACTTGCCCCAACGTTTCTCCAGGTTTGTGGTTCCGTCGCAGAAGTGGATTTCCTCGAGGCCCTCAAAATACGCGAATTCCAAGTTTATCCATATCTTAGTGGCACTTGAAACGCTCGTGTAGTTAAGTAACTGCCAAACAACGAATTAGCATCAGGATGATTTGTGGCCATAGAACAGTCATCCTCATCCAAGAAGGGAATTTTATAACCACGTATGTCGCTGTCGCTCTACATCAGCATGCGAACCGAGTTACTTATCAAACCACCCTCGTATATGAGTGAAACAAAATGAAATATACCGTATCGTTATGATGCCAGTGTACATTTTCGCCGTACGTATGGCGCTTTTCTTTAACAGCCGTTTTCAGATATTTCCTCCGAAGATCAGTACAATCAAAATAATACTCTCTTTGTCAGCGAATTCTTTCCCGACAACCGTGTACAAAAATAATTCGTAAATCGTAAAAAACGTGACTGTTTCCCTTTAAAAACCCTACCGCAGCCCAGCATGGTAAATTATGCAAAGAAGCAATGGAACGTTATTATCCGTCTTAGATAATCAATTTATGCGATATGTTGAGGATTGTGCGAGATAATAGACATTCCCAAATTTCAGCGTGCAATGAGATCTACACAGAAATGTACGAGGATGCGTATCGAAAGCTAAGTAATTACATTCTAAGTGACGAGAGTTGCGTGAGAAAAAATAATATATTCGATTACACCAGACAATCGGGATCAATCGTAACGTTTCGATCGAAATATTATAAAAAGAAGGGGGGGGGGGAAATGAAAGAAAAGCGAAAGGTAGACGCTTTCCGCCAGGAATATAAGATATGTGAATACGTGCCAATACGCCGAATCTCTCTGTCCCTCGATATTCAATAGACAACTAAAAATTCCGGTAAAAATTGTATATCGTTACGAGTGCGTGATTTGCCAAACGCCCGAGTGCGTGATTTCCCAAACGCCCGATATAGTTTTTCAATCTCTGGTACTCCGAAAACTTGGCGCGCGTTAAATAGAGCTTCGTGTGAGCCGACGTGACGTCCCGATTTGTAACTTCTGCGGGGAAGATACCATGAAGCGCGCCGAACTGGTCCTCCGGGCGAGGATTCGTAGGATCGGATTATGAAAGGTGTACAAGCACGAAGATTCGCGTGACTTAAGGCACTAACAGTAATACTTAAGGCCTAACGCAGCGTCCCCCTTCCTTAACATTAGAAGGCACTATCCCCTATCAGAGTACAACACGTAACAAATGTTAATTTATCGACCCTCGCATTAATCTTAGATGCAGAGGTTTTCTCTTTAATGATATAAACTGGCTCTAGCATATACTGGCATCTTGTTCCGTTGTCTCAACTGGCTTCATGATAGGTGTCCCAACTAACTTTAGCCGCGTTCATGCAGCGGCGTAAACGCAGTTTAAAGAAACAGGCTAATGCTACATCTGCCACCTACGCAGTGTATGCCGCGTCCCGCAAAGTTTCTAGAGATTATGTACACGATTTGTATTACGATATATCAAGCGAGGCGCGTTGAAATTTTCGTGCCCGTTTACGAGTTTTCGAACGTTTGACACGCGGAATGAGCGACTTCGGTGTCTATAATTTCCAACAGCCATTTTATGCTTTTAACTAAACTAAATAAATATAATACACTCTTTCTCTATGCGTTTCGCACATTATGCAATTAATTCCATTAGCATTTTTGTGGCCTATTAAATCGAAAACTGTAGCTATACGAAGACTATAGCTATTTTCTCTTGACTAATAAATCCAATAATAAATAATTAAATAATGTTTGAAACGTAGTTTCCTAAATTGCACTTTTGAATTACTCCCGAAGTCGACAATTCGATGTGCCAAGGCATCCTGATACAATCATTATTTGCAATCGGAAAGTCATAAAGAACGATATAAATATATATATGAAAAGTGAATCGTTCCTTCGACAGTCAACACAGGGTGTTTGAGCATATATTTCGGCGCCCCGCGGATATTTATTGAGCTGCTGAGTTTTCAGGATGCCTGCACAAGATGCGAAAGTAACGTCGTTACTATCTCGTTCGCGTGACACGTGCACCGGGTGGTCAGGATCGAAAATCTCAAGGCGCGATAGCAAAAGAATAATTTACTCGATTATGCTTCTCTCTTTCCGTAAAGCACGCAGTATTAACGATATCTCGCGATTGCACCTTCTACTTTGGCACGAAAATTCAAATTTGACGACTTGCGAATCGAGGAAGGGCTCCTCCCCCCTCCCATTTTTAGCGACTAAGAACAGATTTTTTTGGAAAGCATCGTACATATAAAGCCATCAGTGATATTGCTCGTTACGTAATACTGGCTTCTGGTATGCCGACGTTCATGTATATCCCGCTTCATTACTACGTAATAAAACGTTAATGATTGTCCGTTTCTAAACGCGAAATTCTTTGTGCATAATCGAAAAATTGCTCTATCAATGCTTTACGTAGTGTCTACGATCACGATTGTAGTTTATTTAACTGAGCATGCTAAGTCCCAAGCTCCGTCACCGGAGTTCGATATATTCTTTAACTTACAACGCTAACCATTTACTTACCTTAATTAATTAATTAATTATTACTGGCTCTCTTCTTCGCGATACATACGATATATGGTGCTCTAGACTAGTTGAGCTGGCCTTAATTAAATGTATATATATCTATTATATATAAAAAAAAGAAAACAAACTGGAAAATCGAACGAGTAAAAATTGGCTAGAAACACAGAAGAGAACGGATATATGTAACGATACGTCTCGTCGTGCCGAATCTATAGGCGATCTCGATCGCGCGAGCGGATCGTCCCTTCCTCAAAATCGTGAAGCGACAAAACGCGCCTCCGTTAAAGCCCGACAATTGGTAAAAACGATTATCTCCCCTCGCGATTGTTCAACGCTCGCAATTCCGACGCCGGCCCGATTACGCCGCAGCTGTGATCATTCTTTTCCGGAGAGATCCCCGTCGAAAGGCTCGCGAGAGACAGCACCGAGAGCGTCAGCCGACCGAGACTGGTCGGCGTCGCGATTAAGCGCTAAATCTAATGAACGCGATTTGTTTGCTTCGTCGATTTATTTTCTCTTTTTCCTAGTTGCTGCCCGCTCGGCCGGCCGGTCCGACCTAAGGTTTCAGGACGGGCCGGCGCGCGGCGCGGCTCTTCAGGTCCCAAATGTAAGAAATATCATCGTATCTCGCCTAGGATCGCTCGGGATCACTAGTCGATTAACCGAGGACCGTTCTCCAGCTTTCCTCCATTTCCTCCCGCCGATCGGCGTGCGCTTTCTCTCGCGTCGCGCGGCTCCAGTCGGTCCTCACCATCAGTGCCTCTTCATGTGGAGCGACAGGTGGTCACTCCGCGAAAACGATCGCTGACAGAGATGGCACTTGAACGGCTTTTGGCCCGTGTGCTTGCGATAGTGCCGCGTCAGCTCGTCCGATCGTGCGAATTTCCACGTGCAGCCTTCCCACGTGCACTGGTACGGCTTCTCGCCTACAACAGATGAACAAGACTATGAGAATATCTCTCTCTATTAAACAACGTGTTAACATCCTTGTTACTCGAAGTAAAAAACAATTACGTTTCTCGTAGCGAAGCTCGTTAGAAAAAAACTTCGTCGATCTATGCCTGCATATTGAGGAAGGCATTTGTTGTCCGCATATAAACCCGGCGTAACAAAAATCCATATCTTTAAACGCTTTACGACGACATAAATTTCATATTTATGTTTCCTATTTCAGAAATACATATACCATAAATTTTATATCCGTTTATGTGAGTTTTGTGTACGCTGCATACTGTTAACAAGACAAATAACATTGCAAGACTTATATCCTAATCATATCGCGCGAAGAAAACCTGACATTAGAGTTGGAAGTTACGCATTTTTATCGTATAAAAACAGCGTCGAGTTTTGCATCAAACTATAAAATACATTGAATAATCATCGAAATGTCATGTATCGAAGGTACACGGTTAATCAGCTATCACGAAAAAACTTATATATAACAGTAATTTATAGTGATCTCATCTTAAAACATTCTATTCTTTTGCCACACCTGCCTCGAGCAAAAATAAGTATAGCATTTTACGGTCCATCTCAGTTCACGGAAAACGAAATGTGCTTTAAATAAATACATACTAATCTTATCTCCTCTTATCAATGAAACTATCACAATTTATCGTATCACAAATCACGCATCCTGTGCAACGCATATAAAATGTCTCATCGTTTGGGTTGGTCTCAGTAAAAAGCATTGCATTCGAGTCGAAGTTTATGTTACGTAACGAAGTAATGAGTGAACTGTCACGTAAACGCGCCGTCTTAATTCTGACGATCGTGACGCTCACGTCGGTCGCTTTGATTCATGGAGCATCAAGTCAATCTTTATTTCCTTTTTGCACAAGTTCTGTTTCAAATCTTTGACGACGTCCATCAAAGTATACCGTCAAAATATCTGTCTTTTACAGTTGCGCAATTAAAATGTAAACACGGTGATAGTTATTACAATACATGTTCTTGCGACCTAAGTCTACCTGGATGGTGGTGTACACCGCGATGGTGCGATGGCATAACCACTAGACCACCCCTGTGCCAATGTAAATGAAGATATTTTCAAGTAATCGTCACGCTAAGAGATACGCTAATGGATATGTCGCTTGCATTTAAATCTCTCCGCCGTTGAGCTTCAGTGCGACATAAATTTTCAAATAAAAGTAATAAAGAGAAGAAATATATATATATATAAATTTCTTTTTGTTGTCTACTATGAAAATCCTGTAAATTTTTCATACGTATGCGCGAATGTTACATTTACATATTGTTGAAAATACGTGTTTTTAACCCTGAAATATCACATATTGTGAAACTACTATTAGATCGATAAGCAGAGTTGTTTGCACCAAAAAACCTTGATCCGATCAATATATATATTGATTTTTGCATTTTTAACAGCTTGTTATCACATGATATCTGGCGTTATCATATCTCGTTAATCATCAATGATGATAACGTGTAAGTCATATTACGCAGTGCATGTTTTATATAAAAGCGTTCGTTCGTTTGCCAGTGTCGGTCAAAAATTTGCACTAAACTTTACAGTGCACAGCAGGGCGCATAAGTAATCATTAAAATGTCATATAAATTAAATCTTACATTATCAGCGGTCGGCGTCGTCATAACAACCGTTTTTTTTCAAGAAACATGTAAGTCTTTATCTATTTATATGTATCGCGATTGTGGGTTTCTGAATGATGCATACGATCGACCAAAACGTTTTCTCTTTGTGCAGTTTCACTGCACGAGAAAACGGTGAACGAAAATCGCTTTGTCTTGATAAAAGATGGTTTCTCAAGAATAAAATCTTGTTCCAGTAACTGCTTATTCAACTACCCATCTCTTCGTAGATGTTCAATGTTTCTTCGGACTCGATAAAGGTATTCGACTTTTCTTTGGTTCTTTAATTTGTAGTTTGCATGTACAGAAGCGCTCATTGTCAAAAATGCTCTCCTACTTCAAGCTAGTCGCTAAAGTCCAATACCCAATAAGGAATATTAATAAAATAAATTTTCCTATTGGATATCGAACTCTAGCGACTATCTACAGGTGGGAAGACATTATTAAGCGCTTATGTACATGCAAACTAAAAATTAAATAAGAAGAAAAAGTTGAATATCTTTATCGCGACTAAAGAAAAATTGAGCATCTACGAAGAGATGATGATGGATAGTTGAATAAGCTGTTACTAAAACAAGATGTTATTCTGGAGAAACTATCTTTTATAAAGACAAAGAGATCTTCGCTTTTTTTCAATATATCTCCTAAATGGAACGTAATATCGAAACTGTAGTTTACACAAAAGTATTATAGGAAAAAAAATCTTCATTTAACTACGTCGTTTATTCTTTGCAGAACAATTATATTTCTAAAATTTTTGTATAAAACATTTGTTATATAATATTTCGTTTAGTTTACGAGATATATCGAAAAAAGATAGGAATTTCTTTAACTTTGAACGGTGATTTCTCTCACTTATTTCGAATTACCGCAAAAGAAATAATTACCAGACAACATTTTAAAAGCGACTTAATCGAAAAAACTCCAAAAAATTGAAATGCGAATTTTAGAATTGGTGAGGTTCCCTTGTAAGATAAAACATGAAACTGTGAAGAGAATTTCCGTCTTTCTGCAACGATGTAATTGCCATACAACGCATATGCACACTAAAATTTCGCACTGTAATTTCTCCATCGATCGACTATAGCGTGGTACATAAATACAAATAATAAATGAAAGATAAGTGATCATTCTTTAACATTCCTCGTTATATATTATTATATAAAATATTGCACTAACGTATGGCTCTATGGGCAGCACATGAGTTGTTGCAAAACTTTTATGGTATGCATATTAGATTCCTTATTTCCTCAAACGAATCTACGTTCCGTCTAAGAGTTAAATCGTAAAAGAAAACCGTTAGGGTTCTACTCTCATTGTCGATCAACGTTCTAATACCCCCCCCCCTCCCGCACTAATATTCTTTCCTTTTTTCCCTTTTCCTGAGTCTGATTCCCATAAGCTCTCCACACATTTCCTTGCACGGTAGAAAAGATGATAGAAGAAACAAAAGAAACTATAAAAACTATAAAAATACTATGGAAAATTCTTACAGACTCAGCGTGTGAGAATTTGTTCTCTTTGGTCTCGTTACTTTATTTTAGCAAAATAATATCTTTGGAAACATATTTTCAAGATTCAAAATTTTGAATGAATGCAATAAATAGAAATCTTTCGCTGTCTCCACTCCGAAATCGTCTCTTAAATTAAGTACACACTTGAATATTCGTCAATGTTATCTCACTATTATCAAAATTGAATGTATCAGAATGCTATTATGTACTAATTCTCTGTCTATCGGGATTGGGAAAGTTACTTTGCAAAAGTATCTAGTTACATTTAGAATTTACCAATTCTGGAAAGTAACGCGTTACAGTTGCAGTTACTAAAAAAACAACGAGTCGTTACTTTGTAGTTATTTTCTTGCAGTGAAAATAAAAATAGCAAATCTGCATTCTTTACATCTATATTTCGTCTAAAAGCTACGTCTTAAAAGAAAACTGTTAAAATTCCAATATTATTACAACTTTTCATCTCTTCCTTTTTCTTATCTTTTATTATTCTAACCGTTGTCCGACAAAAACTAAACCTTCCTAGGAAGGTGTGGTTTCCATCAGTTTCCATCTGCTTTACCGTGACCGACTAATTCTTTAGCTCGATAAGGCAGACAATAGAAAATACGAGACAAACCGAATGGACGTGCCCTACGTTCTAAAATTCGTGTTCATTCATGTTTCCGTAACCCCGTTATTTTATCTTATTGCAACGTGATATTTCCAGATAACATTTCCAAGATTTTCTCCAGACTTTAAGAAATGCAATAAACAGAAAGTCTTTTGTTTTCTCCCCACCAATGGGAAATTTCTCTTAAATTAAATACATAACTATATTTTCATTAACGTTATCCTATTTTAATATTAATAAAACATATTTCAAATTGTGTGCAATTATGTGCTGATTCTATAACAGAATTCCGATAAATAAGAAAATAAGAATCAAGGGTCGAGAAACAAGCGACTTATATCGAGTCATTTTAATTTGATCGCACAAACTGGGAAACTTTCCGAAATTTGACAAAAACTGAACGACTGTTCAATGCAGCGTTTAAACAGTTAAACGCTAATAAGGTATTGCACACATACGTGCGGTAATATTATGTAGCCTCTACGCACGAACGTGTGCATTGTGTCGTTATTTTCTAAACTACTTAAACATATGTTATCCATTCAAGTGTCCCTTAGCCGCTCGGTCAATCTGGCGCATGCAAAAAAAGAAGATACAGAGGGCACAAAGTTAAGGTCACAAGCAAAGGATCCTATATAAAGGACTCGTCCTGCATTGCTCCGTCAATAAGAAGTTCACGCCCAGAGCAAGACAGTGTTCGTACAGAGTGCCGAGGCCGTGGCTTCCAAAAGATTTGTTCTGTTCGTACTAGCCTGCATCGTCGGTTCGATCATATTGGAAATTTCGGCTTTGCCAACGCGTGGGTAATTAAAGTTATTATCATGCTTTCACAAGCGTTATTCATCGATCGGTATAAGGTGGCTCCTGTGCGAAGTAGCGGTTAGTATGAGTGGGCTCCCTTTTATTTCTGTAAATTAATAGTTTTACATAAAAAAGTATCACTTGATGCATAGATATGCAAGGTTATATGTGCACATTTAGAAACATATTTAAAATTATACGATATTGTGAAGTTTCAAAGAGCTGTCAAATTTCCTCGAAACATTGTGACATTTGACTTTACTTGCTTGCAGAGGTCGGTGACCTCATATCTTTACCATAATAGCGTATTTGAATCCTTGTAATATTTATATTGAGTTTATTTCGATTTTTGTTAATATCTACTTTTTCTATAAAATAATATTAACCCTCAAAGTGCTTCTGCGAGTGATCGGCCCATGACCCTTATACAAGTATGTGTATGTTAAAAAGTACAACTTTAACATTTCTTCCTTTCGTTTGTTTTAATGACGACCGGGTCTGAAATTTCGCGTACTGATAGCTAAAACAACTACAACATACTTGAATTTCAATATCTTTTACGTTTGGTCGTTTGGTTTCTGCAGGCGCCACCTTAAGTTGCACGCTTGTGTGAAATATGTATCGGAGAATTAATTGTTTCGTTTTTATTGTGAATAGGATGGATGCCGAAATGCTTCCCGGGCAGTAAGTACTTCGACGGATGCAACGATTGCTATTGTAACAACGGTAGATACTCATGCAACTTGAAAGTTTGCGGGCGGTTTATTTCAAATGGTTCTAATCAACCGGAAACGAATCGCCCGCCTCGCCTCCCGATTTCTGAATCGTGAATACAACTACATTCCGAACTTGCTAACTCACATATGCTCACGTGTACGTTTAAAATGATTTGAAATGCACGTGGTGCGTACATCTTAAACAATTGAATCATTACATGATAGTTTTGGTAAACTAATGGTGCAGAGATTCAGCAAGTAACCCCGAAAATATGTAATTTGAAATACAAAATTGATAAGGTAAACTTGACAAAATGTATATTGTATTTGTATTACAATATTTTTAAACACACATATTAAGATTTCGCCATTTAACTGTGGATACAATTAAGATACAGGTATATTTTAAGAAAGGTAATATTATTTGCGCATAGAACAAACACTTATTTATACAATTTTAAGTTTCCGTTTATTGCAATGTTTCAGAGGTAGACAAATCTGATATATTAATGTTTGCCAAGTATCGTGATAAATTTAATATAAATCTTGAATCGCTTATTGCTAGTAGTTATTTTTGTATTATTAATAATTAAATTGTATAATATGAAACATAAAGATTGAAAACACGTGTCCATAGGCAAATGGCTCCATTCTGTTGCATTCGATTTTGGTCAGAAAGTAGGTACCAAACGAATCGTCTCGTCAAAATAATCGTAGATATGTCAGTCTCAGAGTGTAATAGTTAACGTTCCAGAAACAGAGGGCTAAAAAAAATTATAGAACCGAGTCGCAGTCGACTAAATGGTTTCCCAACGGTCAATACTAATGACATCGTCCTGCGTTTTCTATGAACCTAAGTAAGTATTAGGTGGATTAAGTGGATTATATTCTGGATTATATTCTTTTATTTTCTACAATCTGACCAACAGTTTCGGTTAAAAGCATTCATAACGCCGTTTTTCGAAGCACGTAGGGTATTTCTGGAACGTTAAATTTGTACACTCTGAGACTGACATATCTGTAATGAGCCTGACGAGACCTTTCGTTCGGTATCTACTGTATGACCAAACTGGAATGTGAAAAAAATTGAGCCATTTGCCTATGGACACTTGTTCTCACTCCTAGTTACTAGTTATCGAAAAAATGTAACTTTTAAGTTACAGTTACAGACGGAGAAAAAGTAACGAAGTTCAGTTTCCAAAAAAAAGTAACTGTAACTGTAACTTCGCTACAAGTAACGTGATACTTTCCAACCTTACTGTCTAACAGTAAATAATAAAATATGCAAGGATTTTTCTTTAACAACGTATCTTGTTACACGTTCTAATAATGCATTAATTTATCTGTGGAGAGTAGCGCCGCTATAGAACTTTCACGAAATAATGCATATTAAGCTCCGCATTTAAAAACTTTATATTTCTTCTAAAAGCTACGTTATAAAAGAAAACTGTTAAAATACCAATCTTATTACAATTTTTTATCTCTTCCTTTTTCTTTTATTATTCTAACCTTTGTCCGACAAAAACTAGACCTTCCTAGGAATGTGTGATTTTCATATGCTATTCATGACCGACACATTCTTTGGCTCGATAAAGCAGACAATAGAAAATACGAGACAAAACGAGTGGACGTACAAATATTCGTGTTTATTCAGGTATCCGTAACTTTGTTACTTTATCTTACTGCAACGTAATATTTCCAGGGTTTTCTCAAGACTTAGAGAAAATGCAATAAACAGAAAGTCTTTTGTTTTCTCCCCTCCAATGGAAATCTTCTCTTAAATTAAATACATATGTATATTTTCATCGTTATCTTATTTTAATACTAACAAAACGCACTTCAAATTGTGTATTATTATATGCTGATTCTAGAACAGCATTCCGATAAATAAGAAAATAAGAATCAAGGCTCGAGAAACGAACGACTTATACCGAGTGATTTCGTTTCAACCGTGCAAAACCGGAAAACTTTCCGAAATTCCACAAAAATTGAACGACTGTTCGATGCAGCATTTAAACAGTTAGACGCTAATAAGGCATTCCACACATACGTGTGGTAATATTATGTAGCGTCTTCGCACAGACGTGTGCATTGTGTCGTTATTTTCTAAACTCTTTAAATGTATGTTATCCATTCAAGTGTGCCTTAGCCGCTCGGACAATATGATTCATGCGAGAAAAGAAGAGAGAGAGATCCGAAAGCTAGGGTCATTTGCGAAGGATCCTATATAAAGGACTCGTCCTGCATTGCTCCGTCAAAAAGAATTCGAGTCCAAAGCAAGAAAGTGTTCGCACAGAGTGCCGAAGCCATGGCTTCCAAGGTATTTGTGGTATTCGTATTAGTCTGCATCGTCGGTTCCATCATATCGGATGTTTCGACTGTGCCACCTAATAGTGAGTGCCTAAAGTTTTTATCATGCTTTCACAAGCGTTATTCATCGATCGGTATAAGGTGGCTCCTGTGCGAAGGAGCGGTTAGTACGAGTGGGCCCCCTTTTATTTCCGTAAATTAATATTTTTACATAAAAAAGTATCACTTGATGCATAGATATGCAAGGTTATATGTGCACATTTAAAAACATATTTAAAATTATACGATGTTGTGAAGTTTCAAAGAGCTGTCAAATTTTCTCGAAATATTGTGACATTTGACTTTACTAATAAGTAGTTGCTTGCAGAGGTCGGTGACCTCATATCTTTACCATAATAGCGCATTTGAATCGTTGTAATATTTATTGAGTTTATTTCGATTTTTGTTAATATCTATTTTTTTATTAAATAATATTAACCCTCAAAGTGCTTTTGCAAGTGATCGGCCCATGACATCTGTATTTGTATGTTAAAAAGTACAACTTTAACATTTTTTTTCTTCCTTTTATTTTATGGACGACCATGTCTGAAATTTCATGTACTCATAGATAAAACTTACAACTACAACATACTTGAATTTCAATTTCTTCTACTTTTGGTCGGTTTATGCAGGCGCCACCTTAAGTTGTGAGCTTGTGCGAAATATGTATGTATCGGAGAATTAATTGTTTCGTTTTTGTCGTAAATAGATTGGGCGCCGAAATGCGTACGGGGTAGCGAGTACTCCGACGGATGCAACAGTTGTCGCTGTAAGGAAGGCAGATTCGTATGCACCTATAAGATCTGCCTGTATTCTGAACCAATCGAACCGTTTTTCCCGCGTCCTGAGTTAGAAATTGTGAACACAACTACGCTCCGAACTTACTGACTCACATACGCTCACATATACGTTTAAACTGATTTGAAATGTGCGGGGTGCGTACATGTTAAACAACTACATCATTAAATGAAACTTTGGTGAAGTTAAAGGTGCAGAGATTCGGCAAGTAACTCCGAAAATATGTAATTTGAAATACAACAAATTGAGAAAGTAAACTTGACAAAATGTATATTGTATTTGTATTACAATATTTTTAAACACGCATATTAAGATTTCGCCATTTAACTGTGGATACAAGATACAGGTATATTTTAAGAAAGGTAATATTATTTGCGCATAGAACAAACACTTATTTATACAATTTTAAGTTTCCGTTTATTGCAATGTTTCAGAGGTAGACAAATCTGATATATTAATGTTTGCCAAGTATCGCGACAAGTTTAATATAAATTTTGAATTGCTTATTGCTAGCAGTTATTTTTGTAGTATTAATAATTATATTGTATAATATAAAACGAAGAGTTAGAACAAATGTCCATAGGCAAATGGCCTCATTTTGTTGCATTCGATTTTCATCACAAAGTATGTACCAAACAAAAGGTCTCGTCAAAATGATCGCAGGTATATCAAGTCCCAGAGGGTACCTATTTAACGTCCCAGAGACATCCATCGGGCTCCAAAAATTTCCAAACCGAGCTGCAGTCGACTAAAAGGTTTCCCAACGGTCGATACTAATGACATCGTCCTGCGTTTTCTATGAACCTAAGTACATAAGTACTAGGTGGATGAAATAAATTATTTTCCAGGGCTCTTTTATTTTCTACAATCTAACCAACAGGTCCGGTCAAAAGCATTCATAACGCCGTTTTTCAGAGCACGATATCTATGCAACGAAGTTAAGTTATAAAAAAAAGTAACTGTTACTGCAACTTCGTTACAAGTAACGAGTTTCTTTCCAACCCTGCTGTCTATATAATAGTAAATAATAAATGCATGATTATTCTTTAACGTCTCTCGTTACACGTTCTAATAATGCATTAATTTATCTGTGGGCAGTAGTGCCGCTATAGAACTTTCACGAAATAATGCATGTTAAATTCCGCATTTAAAAAATCTATATTTCGTCTAAAAGCTACGTCTTAAAAGAAAACTGTTAAAATTCCAATCTTATTTTTCACTTCTCCCTTTTTCTTATCTTTTATTATTCTATCCTTTGTCCGATAAAAACTACATATGCTTTCCATGACCAACACATTCTTTGGTTTGATAAAGCAGACAACACGAATGGACGTACAAATATTCGTGTTTAGTCAGGTTTCCATAACTTCGTTACGTTATCTTGCAACGTGATATTTCCAACATTTTCTCGCGACTTTAAGAAAACGCAATAAACAGAAAGTCTTTTGTTTTCTCCCCATCAATGGAAATTTTCTCTTAAATTAAATACATATCTATATTTTCATCAACGTTATTTTATTTTAATATTAATCAAATTTACTTCAAATTGTTTGTTATTATGTGCTTTCTGTAACAGAATTCCAATAAATAAGAAAATAAGAATCGAAGCTCGAGAAACGTGCGACTTCTACCGAGTAATTTTATTTCAATCGCGCTAAACCGGACAACTTTCCGAAATGCCACAACAACTGAACGACTGTTCGATGCAGCGTTTAAGCAGTTAAACGCTAATGAATCATTGCACACATACGTGCGGTAATATCATGTAGCGTCTTCGCAGGTACGTGTGCATTGTGTCGTTAGTTTCTAAACTATTTGAACGTGTGTTATCCGTTCAAGCGTGCGATAGCCGCTCGGTCGATTAACGCGAGAGAAAAAGATAGGAAGAACTCAAAATTAAGATTACGTACCAAGGACCCTATATAAAGACCTCGTCGTGCGTTGTTCCGTCAAGAAGAAGTCGACGTCCAAAGCAAGAAAGTATTCGTACAGAGTGCCGAGGCCATGGCATCCAAAATATTTGTAGTATTCGTACTCGCCTACATCGTCCTTTACATCGTATCGGAAATTTCGGCTTTGCCAACACGTGAGTAACTAAAGTTTTTATCATGCTTTCATAAGTGTTATTCATCGATCGATATAAGATGGCTCCTGCACGAAGGAGCGACTAGTATGAGTGGGGTCCCTTTTATTTCTGTAAATTAATATTTTTACATAAAAAAAATATCACTTAATGTACTACTGAGCAAATGCATAGATATGCTAGATTATACAGGGTGTACTAAAACCACCGGATATCCTTTTAATCATAAATTCTTTAGAAACTTTCAAGAAAAAAATTCTAATACAAAAATGTCGAGGCTATAATAGTTTTTAAATAATAAGCGATTACATTTCACAAATGACAGGCCTGAGATTTCGCGCGCTCAGGTATGGCGACACGACAAGTGATAAAGGTGTTCCTACGAATATCGCCCTTTTTAGCATAGTGACAACTTTCACAACAGACTTAACGATTAATTCTCGAATTAATTGTTCCTCTTGTTATCTTTAACCATTTCTTTTGTTAACTTTGTGTAACGTCTTGTTAATAAAAGGGAGGGGTTCACTATGATGAAT